TCTCCCTTAAAACATCCCTCCGATCACACGGCGTCCCAAAAAATTTCTCAACTCTCCACTTGCCCCAAGTGCAGGCTGGCCCCTGTCCATCCTGGACGGTGTCCATCAAAATCCGGTTTCTGTACAATAAACGCTAGCAAGGGGATGATCGGGTCAGCCGGTTCCGTAAAGCAGGCAGAAGATCCACGGCAACCTGTCGATGATGTCGGCCAAAGGGGAGTCTCGTATTTTTTTCTAGGGTGACACGAGAAGGGACAGTGACCACTCTGTCCATCCTTCGAGGGATGACCATCGATAGGGTTGCGCGACTTTGCTTCGTAGTTTCTCGCTGTGGGAACGAAAACCTGATTTTCGCGGGAGTGTTGGTTTTTAATGGTAAACGGCCAACGATGGCGGACGACAATGGACAACCGTTCGAAATTCGTCCACGAGATATATGCGTGGCAAGGATTACGGAGCATGGGAAAAACCGGACGAACCGGACACCATGCTGGACAACGGAAGCGTTCGATAAGCGTGGCCCTCGGTGGCGAAGAATGAAGAAGAAAAATCACCTGGCAGTTGGCCTCGAGATTTCGACCGATCGACGGTTACGCGACACTTAACGATCTTTCGTGAATACGCTCGTAAAACGCGGACGTTAGGGGAGGAGAATCGATTTTTTAAGTTGTGAAGGTTTTTGGTGCTGTTTCTTTAAATGCAGTCATTGCAATTTGGTATTTACGGAAGGTTCTCAGAAATAATTTTTATTGGTTATTTGTGCTTGGAATTGGGGGAATGAAAAAAATATTTTAAAATAGCCCAATCCTTCAAGAATAAAACAGAAAAGAATTTAGCTAAATCGGTTGAGTAGTTTCTGAGAAAAAAATTCGTAAGTGAAGACTATTTATAAATTAATACAGGGTGTGTCACAACTAGTGTTCTTCTGACTGGTTTTCCTTAAATTTTTGCACAATCCTTTGTGAATGAAACAAGACAGAATTTAGTTAAATCGGTTGAGTGGTTTCTGAGAAAAAAATTCGTAACTGAAGCCTACTTTAGTAAAATGAGTAAAAATTGCAAACTTTTAAAAGTTTGTTATTTCTTAACAAATTCGAAATCGGTAAAATGATGACTTAAACCCCCCCTAATTTCACGTGGATTACAACATATTTTGATTAGAGTAAAATAATGACGTCCAAAAGTGATTTGGCATGGAATGTATTCAGATGTACCGCATCAGTGATTTAGCAGATCGCAGCATAAAGATCGCCATTACGAATGTATCGATACATCTCTACTGATTTGTATTCCCGAGTCATTTATTCGACACCGAGAGTAATTTGCAGGAGTATCAGTTACTATTTTCAAGACGAATGGCTAGATGAACGATACATTTAAGTTCGTAATCATTCTTCGTATAATGACCGAAGGTGTTGCACAATAGAGAGTAACGTTAAATTACTATCGAATAATCGTCGATATCTCCTTCCTTAGGGGTCGATAAAGCGTTCAGAATGCCGCCTTAACAGTGTTCGCTTGTCTCCGATGGTGATTGATCGATTTAGCTGCGTTCACCTAACGCGATTCGATTTGATTTTCCGTTGACTGATTCCGGCTGTCATACGCTGAAGGCTTCATTACGCGTGCTTTATTAACCACCGACTATTATACGCTTCAAATTGCCTGGCTAATAAGAAAATAGAGATTCAGTCGGTGCCGATAAATGTTCAGTCACATTCGTTATAACATACTTCTCGTTTAGAAATGTTTATTCTTTCATGCATTATCCTTTCTACAAGATTACGATTTTCATCGACTGCTTTAGTTGCATTTATTTCATTCGAATATTTCCTGTTAGCTGTTTTGATGTTAAGGAGAGATTATTTGGAGATGTTAGCTGTTTTAAGAATTTTGATAATTTTTAGATGTGGAAATTAAATAGGAAAATCATAATTTTTCCTGTGAATACTAGGAAATTTGCTTCTCAGGATTTTATTATTAGAGGACTGTTTGAAGAAATTAATTTTACTCAAAATATTTTGTTAACATTTTTTAAGAAAATTTTATTAAATATTTTAACACTTTCTGAGTTCACAATTTTCCTTCTGAAATATTCTCACACTTAAGTAAGGACAATGATTTTAAAAAATTATTTCCATGTGTACTTAATTACTAAAATTTAAGATCAAATAAATTACATAAAATTTAAGTCTGATAAAGTATTCCAAAAATTATATATTAACAGTACTAATGTCCAACCTCAAAAAATTCCTTTCCATAAAAAAAAGTTCAAAAAATAATTTCTACTTAATTTTATTAAGGTCCAGAAGTCCATATGTTACAAAAAAATTCCGGTCCATAAATTGGTCTCTATCATTGCATAACTAATAAAAACCGCAAAGATTAATGAAAGTTTTCGACCCTGGAATGATCAGTTCTAAACCCGATCTATTCAGCGTTCCACATTCCTCTAAACGTTTATCGATCTCATCTACATCTCGAACAATCAGCTGTTTATTCTGAAACAGGAAGGCAACAATGGCCGTTGGTACCAGTCATTCTGTGTTGTATTAAACGATCGTTGTATCGCTCGATCGATTGCACGCCGGGCAACGCGTGTAATTTTCCACGCGTCAATGGATAATTATGAATTCCACTGGATTGTTGGACTGTCGGTAGTTGAACGTAATCGGTGATCGACGGTGTACTTTCCCCCAGTATTTGCTGTGAAATCCGGTTCTCCATATTATTTTTACGGAGCTTTGATAACGTGATTACTCGCTAAAATATAGCTCCATAATTTGTGGTGTAAGAGGTAAAAATTTGATACAATCAATCTAGGGTTTTTTGCTCTAGTTTGTACGAATACTAGTATGACTTTCATAGAAGAGTATGACTTTCATTGAAATTTCTGACTGACTTTCTACATTTCATAGGTAGATCTAGATATTCTTAGTTACCTCAGTATAAATTCCTAAATTCTCAGATTTGCGATAGTCCTTAGATACCCTTTCTAGGTTCTGAAATCCCCACGTCCATAAATTTCTAGGTCCCTAAATTTCTACGTCCACTAATTTCTAAGACCTTCAATTCCCAAATCCCCAAATTCTCAGATTTGCGATAGGTGTCCCCAGAAACCCAAATTTCTAGGATCTGAAGTCCTCACGTCCACAAATTTCTAGGTCCCTAAATTTCTACGTCCACTAATTTCAAAATCCTCCAATTCCCAAATCCCCAAATTCTCAGATTTGCGATAGGCGTCCCCAGAAACCCAAATTTCTAGGTTCTGAAATGTCCACATCCACAAATTTCTAGGTTCCTAAATTTCTACGTCCACTAATTTCCAAGTCCTCTAATCCCCAAATCCCCAAATTCTCAGATTTGCGATAGTTTGCCTAGACACCCAAATGTCTATGTCCTCAAATCCCCACATCCACATATGTCTACCTCCTCCAACTTCCAAATCCCCGAACCTAGATCCCCAAATTCTCAAATTTCCACATCTCCAAGTTCCCAGATCCGAACCACGTAAATCCCCAGATCCCCCACTCCACCTAAACCCCACATCCACTAATTTCACACGTTCCACACTTGCGATCTCCAACGAATCGTAACGGATCTCCCGTCGACCGGTTCGCGGGTCAACGACGGATCCCTCAGGCTGATCCGCCATTATCCATGCGATCGAGTTAATTTATGAATGGATTATGAATGGACGAGCTCGTTTACGTTGGTGAACCGTCACGTGGAACGCGGTCGAAATGGAAAATCGGCTTAAACGGTGCTAGCGAGCCGGGAGATAAATGATTCCGCAGCTTGGCCGTAATGAGGCTTCCTTGTCGCGTGACGCTTTTTGCTCCGAGTCGGATGATTTAACGCCGACGATCACGAGGAACTGTTCCGGTGACGTTTCAGGGTGGCCTGCTCGTCGTTCACCGACTACTTCGTTTGCGAATGATCGATCGAGGACCAGCTTTCGGAATCCTTCTGCCGTTATTTCGCTGGAGAGGCTTCTATCGGGCAGTTAACCTGCTGGCCTTTTAACTATGCCAAATCAATTAACTTATTCGGATCCTTGTGTCTTGTTTCTATTTGATGATTTTTTGGAAGATGGACGTCTACATGTACCTGGGAGAAATGTGTATGAGTGCTTTGTGTGTATGTGTATGAGTGTGTGTATGTGTATGAGTGGCCTAATCGCAATGGCGTTCAATGTCGACACAACGCACTAATGTGCGATCTAACACGTGACCCAGAATCTGTCTATCTAAACTAGCAACCTGAGTCTATCTAAACTATTCCCTACTCATACTTCCCCAAGAAATTCGTTTCCAAGAAATCCTGCACTCGAGATAAAACAGAGTGTAACCGAGAATCATTAGATCCAGTCTTAAAACCATGTATCCATCAAAGCGTTAATTTAGATTAAAGCAATCGAGTATCCCTTATTTTCATGAACTCATAACGTACGAAGACTAACTCTCACCAGCGTAATTCTATTAACAAATTCTATCAACCGTGAATCACCGTTGCAATAAACGTTAATTAGCACAATTATTCGACGATCATCCCCCATTTACTTAGCATCGGTTAAACGCATTCGCGGTTAAAATTAAATGACCGTCCTCGGCCGTTCCATCAGCTGGCCACGAAAGCAGGTTCCGAATTAAGCGATCCCCCTCTCCGTAGGAAAGATCGTCACCACGGACAGAATAACGACAGGATGCTTTTAACGAAACGAATCGACGCTCGTGTTCGTATTTATACGGTCGATGTCGGTGAATATGGCCTCGTACAAGTTTGCTATCGTGGTCTCGGGTAATGGCGTTCGTTCGACGTTGGGAACGCTGTTTTAGGACGCGGCTAAGCATCGGTAATTATTTATCGGAACGACTCTCGTTCCCGAACGAAATTGTTCTGTCACCTTCCAGCCGGCTACGTGGCTCGTTCGAGCATCCTGATTTTAACCTGCGCCATTTTTCACCGTTTCACGGCGATACAGGGACCTATGAGGGACGTTACGGTGATTGAACGAGATTGTAGTCGAAGAGGTTCGAACCATTGCCGACTGTTATTGTCACGTCGTTAGGACCCTGTTGTTCTAAAGTGTACTGTCGTTTGGGTGATAAAGTTAACGCTGCTAAACGGGGAACTCTGTATTTATAGCCGGATGCGAATTAATGAGTCGTTGTGTGTGTGGACCAGTTATTGATGACTAAGTCGTGAGTGCGTATAAAGAAATTTTTGGGTGAGTGCGATTCATATGAAAAGTTAAGGTCATTGATGGGGGTTGTAGATAAGATAAAGGGTTGATGTGGTAAATATTTTTTGTGATTGCTGCAGTAATTATTATTGTTGCTGATATACATCATTAAATTGCTATTGCTATTGCTGTTGCTGCTTACTACTGCTGGTTACTGTTGCTGGTTGCTAGTTACTGTTACTGCTTACTATTGCTGTTGCTGTTGCTGTTACTAGTCGCTGTTGCTAGTCGCTGTTGCTAATCGCTGCTGTTAGTCGCTGTTGCTAGTCACTGTTTCTAGTCGCTGTTGCTAGTCACTGTTGCTATTGCTATTGCTATTGCTATTGTTGTTGCTGTTGTTGTTGCTACTATTATTGTTGTTGTCATTGCTATTGTTATTGTCGATGTCATTTTTGTTGTCACTGCTATTGTTAATGTTGTCATTTTTGCTGTCATTGCTATTGTTATTGTCATTTTTTCCGTCATTGCTATTGCCATTGTCATTGTTATTGTCATTGCTATTGTTATTGCTATTGTTATTGCTATTGTTGTTGCTATTGTTATTGCTATTGTTATTGCTATTGTCCTTGTTATTGTCACTGTTATTGTCACTGTTATTTGTCTGCTGTCATTGATATTGTCATTGTCACTGTTATTGTCACTATTATTGTTATTGCCATTGTCACTGCTATTGTCACTGTTATTTGTATGCCGTCATTAATATTGTTATTGTCACTGTTATTTATACACTGTCATTTGATATTGTTATTGTCACTGTTATTGGAGTGCTGTCATTGATATTATTATTGTCACTGTAATTTGTTTGCTGCCACTGATATTGTTATTGTCACTGTTATTGGAATTCTGTCATTGATATTGTTGTTGTCACTGTTATTTGTATGCCGTCATTAATATTGTTATTGTCACTGTTTTTGCACACTGTCGTTGATATTGTTATTGCCATTACTACATTCTCTGGTTCTATTGTTGTTATTTTTGTTGCTCTTGCTACAACTAGTATTATTGCTACTGCTATTGCTACTGCTATTGCTATTGCTACTGCTATTGCTATTGCTATTGCTATTGCTACTGCCATTGCTACTGCTATTGCTACAGCTATTGCTACTGCTATTGTTACTGCTATTGCTACTGCTATTGCTACTGCTATTGCTACTGCTATTGCCACTGCTATTGCTACTGCTATTACTATTGTCATTGCTACTACTACAAGCTAATCACATTGTCATTCCTATTGCCTTCTATAACACCATAACCACCAACCAACCCAAAAATCATCAAATGCAGTAATATTCCCAACAAACAAAAAGTATAATTTTTCAAACATATCGCACACTGTTATCCAAGTTCCGCCGGACAGAGAATCGAGTTCAGCGTAGCCGCCGTCAACCGATGACGCCCGGCGATACCGCAACGTACAATGTAGCTTGGCTAACAGAGGCCCGGCCTGTAATTTCATTTGTCGAGATCCTATCGTCAGAATTTATACGGTCGACCGGTGAAAATACATCGTGGAAACCGATAAAATGGTCGCGGCTATAATAGAGCCACACGGACGACGTTGGCCGACTGCTGTTGTCGGATGCCGAGAACAGGCTACGGTTACTCTTGAACTATCGATAATTATTTATCGGTCGATCCTGAATGATGGTCACGTACACGCATCGCGGGACAGGATCATGGAGCACACGATGCATCGGTATTCTCTATATTACAGACAACCATACGCCCGCCACGTCGAGTTACAAGCTTCCGATCCGCGCCGAGGCTGACTTACGGTTCGAGTACGCACGATTATTTCACCAGGGACTGAATGTTACAATGGGAAAATCGATCACGTGGGATGTCAAATTTTCAATTGAGAATTTTGCAATTTTGAAATTTTGAGATGAAGGAATTTGGGGATGTGGGGTTTGGTATGAATATTTCTAAAGACAATTCTACCAGACATTAAAGACCATAACAATTCTACATCACCCCTATCAGATCTTCCTACACTCCCCAACCCTTCCACAGAAAAAAACCAGAACCCCGATTTTCCATCGATTACCACAAAGTGCCGTTAAAGAAGACACAAAAGAAGCCGTATTATTCATCCGTAGGACCGTGTTCAGTTGCGTGGAAGGACCGCAACCTCCTCCGGTATCATCGATTTATCGTCTCTTACGTATGTACATACAACCGCTTCGCATTGTTTCAACGATTCCTCGAAGCTCGTGGGCTGTCGGCAACCCACTGGGCAACAGGTTGATATCGCGTTTAACGGTACATTGGTGTGTGTATCGGTATCGGTACTAGAAGCGAGTACTCCTGTAGCGATATTCTTCGGGCAAGAAATAGCCCGGTGATTCGCGGCAGGGAAGAAGTCACTTGCCAGCCCGTTAACGCTGACCAATGACATCCGCGAGATGTACTGGTGTCAAACCAGGAGTTGGCGCGTGAGATCCAGGTGTTTAGGTTAGCTTCGTTTTCTAAAAGAGACTCTTATATTAGTGCATTTTTAGATGTCTGTTATTGCTCTTGCTTATTGCTGTTGCTTATTGCTGTTGCTTATTGCTGTTGCTTATTGCTGTTGCTTATTGCTGTTGCTTATTGCTGTTGCTTATTGCTGCTGCTTATTGATGTTGCTTATTGCTGTTACTTATTGCTGTTGCTTAATGCTGCTGCTTACTGATGTTGCTTATTGATATTGATGTTGCTTATTGCTGCTGCTTATTGATGTTGCTTATTGCTGCTGCTTATTGATGTTGCTTATTGCTGCTGCTTATTGATGTTGCTTATTGCTGTTACTTATTGCTGTTGCTTAATGCTGCTGCTTACTGCTGTTGCCTATTGCTGTTGCCTATTGCTGTTGCCTATTGCTGTTGCTCATTGCTGTTGTCTATTGCTGTTGCCTATTGCTGTTGCCTATTGCTGTTGCCTATTGCTGTTGCCTATTGCTGTTGCCTATTGCTGTTGCCTATTGCTGTTGCCTATTGCTGTTGCCTATTGCTGTTGCCTATTGCTGTTGCCTATTGCTGTTGCCTATTGCTGTTGCCTATTGCTGTTGCCTATTGCTGTTGCTCATTGCTGTTGTTTATTGCTGTTGCTTATTGCTGTTGCTTATTGCTGCTGCTTATTGATGTTGCTTATTGCTGCTGCTTATTGATGTTGCTTATTGATGTTGCTTATTACTGTTGCCAATTGATGTTGCTTACTGCTGCTGATTATTGATGTTGCTTATTGCTGTTGCTTATTTCTGTTGCTTAGTGCTGTTGCTTAGTGCTGTTGCTTATTGCTGTTGCTTATTGCTGTTGCTTATTGCTGTTGCTTATTGCTGTTGCTATTACTATTGCTTATTGCTCTTGTTTACTGCTGTTGCTATTGCTACTGTTTATTGCTGTTACTATTGCTACTGTTTATTGCTGTTATTTCTGCTGTTGCTATTGCTGTTACTATTGCTGTTGCTATTGTTATTGTTGTTGCTATTGCTACTGTTATTGATATTGTTACTGCTGTTGCTATTCCTATTGTCATTGCTATTGACATTGTTGTGTTGTTATAGCCACTGTCTTTGCTACTGTCATTGCTATTGTCATTGCTATTGTCATTGCTATTGTCATTGCTACTATCCTTGCTACTATCCTTGCTATTGCCATTGCTATTGTCATTGCTATTATCTTTGCTACTATTCTTGCTACTATCCTTGCTACTATCCTTGCTATTGCCATTGCTATTGTTATTGCTATTGTCATTGCTATTGTCATTGCCACTATCCTTGCTACTATCCTTGCTACTATCCTTGCTACTATCCTTGCTACTATCCTTGCTATTGTCAGTGCTATTTTCATTGCTATTGTCATTGCTACTATTCTTGCTACTATCCTTGCTATTATCATTGCTATTATCATTGCCATCGTCATCGTTATTTTCCCCATCATCATTATTATTCCTACTCGCCGTGATGGAAGCGTTATTTTATTCTTTCACTTCGTGTCGTGCGCCAACCCGTGGGTTGACATCTGTACCACTTAATAGATCTCTTGCCCGCGGACGAACGACGTTCCTTTTTCTCCCCTTTCCCTGTTAAGCGGAGTCGAAACAGGCTTGCCCGCGGGGTGCTTGCAAATGAGACAGGTCCCTCGAACGAGCTATTGATAATTTGTCGGTAAATTATTGCTGCGTGAATTGGTGGAAATGTTGCTGGTATTTCGCGAAAAGGGACTCGCCGGTTTGAATAATTGCGAGGACATGTTGACGACCGGGCTTAGACGAAGAATTTCGGTTTTAATACGCTGCGCTATGTACGCTTTGATATCGAAAATAAATAAATGTACGCTGACACGTGAATTAATGTATAACTGGTTAAAAATCCAGAAAAGAATCTTCAATTTTGTAATTTCAGATAAGGAACTCGAGAACCGGTAATTTCACCAGCTGGGTGGCTATATGGCGAAACTTGTATTCGGAGTTTTTAAATGACACCTTGTTTTATTTCATGTGGAGCAGGAATTCCGTTGGTTGACTATCGGCTGTTGAAAGGGTACGCTTCATTTTTGAAGCTTGCTTTCGCGCAAATGAAGTGATGACAGCAAACGGGTTTGCGGAGGATTGAGTTTCATAATACCGTTGTGACCCGGGAACGGGTTAATCGGGATACCTGTAACCTTGTAGAATGTTGACCTAACCCGGTATATTAGGAAACAGGGTTACCATTCTTGCTTTAGAAGTATAACGTTAGCTCAGAGATGACTTTGCTGAATACACTCTAACTCCAAAGTTCAGTTCTCAATTTTATATGAATACATCTTGGCCTTGGACCAACTTCATTTTATTATAAGTTTAGAACCATTTCTGTTTTTCATCCAAAATTAACCTCTATTGTTAGCTCACCTCAGTGAGATCGTCTGATCAATTTTTATATCATCTGATTCAATTTTTATCTTAATACAAAAATCTGTATGTGTCTAATTGACCAACAAAAATATTAATCGCCCATCTACCCAAAATTCAGTCTCCATCTTCATAAACCTATAACCTATGAGTCTGCAACCTAATCAATTCATCAACGTCCAAATCTATCGTCATACCCCCAACGATAATACCAAGCTAACATTATCTCCGTCAATTGTCACGAAACGACGCTTACGGACTCACCGAACCGACTAGACTCGGTTCCAGTAATTCCAAGCGTCGTTTGCTCTCGCGACACGTTGCAGTTTGATAACTGGATGCACCAGGAGGCGGCGCCGGTGCCAGCGACGGCGAGCGCCTACCTACCAGTCGACGACTCGGGGACCCATTGGCCACCGCAATGACCAATCATCATTTGACATTCTTTCACCTTGCTCGTAGTGTGCGGTAACCCACACTGGACGCGACTGCAACCGCGGCGCCGCAACAAGAAGAAGAGACGCCGTCTCGATGCGCGCGCAATGCCGTGCCTACAGCGGTGATAACCCCGTAGGGACCCCGTGATTTTACCGCTGTGAACCCCGTGCAACCCAACGGTACTGCGAATCTTCGTTTTTGAACTTCGCTGTTGTAGACGCGTTTAATGACTGCCTTTCGTTATACCAGTTATTCTACAATATTGTAATGTACTTAGGACACATGTAGTTTATATTGTAATGTAGTTTAGGACGCATGTGTGACGCACTAAATTTGTGTTTTCATCACAATTGTGCTTTCACCAAAATTCACTCGCAAAGTGTAATTTAAAAAGTATATTTCTAATTTAAAAATTGTATGATTGTACTTGAAAAATATATATCTGCATTTGAAAATATGTGTCTATGTAAAATATAATCCTATGTGATCCTCGTTCACATACATCATATATGAAGTTCTCAATTTAGAGTTAAATTGATTCCACAAAAAGTCCTAACATATTTTCTGTTCCACCAAAGTACCAGTCACACAATTTCACTTCGTACCAAGAATATTAATCAAACCTATCTCTAGTAACTTAAAAATGAAATCCCCAATAACTTCAATATTAATCAAACATGTCTCTACAAACCATAACCTTACAATTACCAACAAGCACATCCTATAAATACAATTTCTTGAATACTTTCATATCACAAATTTTAACCAAAGTTTTTAAGGTTCAACGTCTTCGTGATTTCGTAAAAAAAGGCTTGCTTGATAGGGGAGTTCGTTAAGTACGTTCGAAGGTAGAGTTCGTTGGAATTGCTATCGATACAGTTTTGGGATGCCAGGGATTCCCGGTGGAAGGAGATTTCCCGTAATGAGGTATGCATGGGTGTGTCCCTTTCCATTTCGCGAGCCTTTCGCCAACGTGGTCCGCGTAGCTCCAGGAATGTCGTGGCCGGCGATCTGCTTCTGGTGGCGTCGCGATGCATGCGTTCGAGCCGCGGAATTTCATTGACCGCTATCGGTCCCGGGAATCGTTTCGACCTCCAAACCGACTCGATCTGCCGGCCATTTAAAACTGGAAATTCAATCTGCTTCGGGTAGTCGTTGAACTTGTGCTGTACCGGTCATTGTATAGGATTCCTTTAGGAAAGTTCATATTATAGGGGAAAATTACTTCACTAGTTACTATAAAGCAGAGGGACGAACGTTGTTATCATGTTGAAAAAGAAACTCGGGAGAGACATTTTGAAATTTAACGAGTGAAGGTTTTGGGAAAATTAGAAATTTCAAGAGTGAGGGTTTTAGGGTTCTTGAAGAGAAATTTGGGGATTTTTAAGGGGAATTCAGAAATCTAGGGGTTTAAGACTCTAGGGATTTCAATATTTAGGGATTGAGGGATCTAGGAATCTAGGGATTTAGAAATTTAGGAATTTAGGAACTTAGGAATCTAGGGATTTAGAAATTTAGGAATTCGGGAATGTAAGGATTTTTAAATCTAAGAATTTAGGAATCTAGGGATTTAGGCATCTAGGGATTTAGGAATTTAGGAATTTAGGAATCTAGGAATCTAGGAATCTAGGGATTTAGAAATTTAGAAATTTAGAAATTTAGAAATTTAGAAATTTAGAAATTTAGGAATTTAGGAATCTAGGGATTTTTAGATCTAAGAATTTAGGGATCTAGGGATTTTTAGATCTAAGAATTTAGGAATCTAGGGATTTAGGGATCTAGGGATTTAGAAATTTAAGGATTTAGGAATTTAGAAATTTAGGAATTTAGGAATTTAGGAAT